AAATCATGTTTCCTCCACCATACTTTACAGTGGGGATAATGTTTTCATGATGACATGCCGTGCCCTTTTTAAGCCAGATGTAGTGCTGTGTGTTCTTTCCAAATAGTTCAGTCTTTGTTTCATCAGTCCACAGAACATTTTGTCAATACCACTGTGGAGTGTCAGTGTGCTCTTTCACAAACTTCAGGTGTGCAGCAATGTTCTGTGTAGTAAGCAGCGGCTTCCTTCGTGGTGTCCTGTCATAGACACCCGGCTTGTGCAATGTTTTATGTACTGTAGACTCAGGAACACAGATGTCAGCCAGTTCCAATGATGCCTTCAACTCTCTGGCTGTCACTCCGGGTTGTTTCTTTACCTCATTGATGAGTCTTCATTGTGCTCTTGGGGTCATTTTGACCAGGTGCCTGCTTCTTCATAGAGTAGCCACAGTCCTAAAGTGTCTCCATTTGTAGATCACTTGCCTAACTGTGGACTGGTAATTTCTGAGGTCTTTGAAATCACTTTGTAATCCTTTCCAGCTTTATGTAAATCAATAATTCTGGATCGTAGATCCTCTGAAAGCTCTTTTTGACAAGGCATGGCTCACATAAGCATACATCTTGTGCAGAGCAAACTCAAAAATTTGAGTGTTTTTTATCAACTGACATAGCTCTAGTCCACACTTCCAAACTCATTTTCTTAACAAGACTCCAGATTAACCTAAGTCTGATTTGCTTTTTTAAGATCAACTTATTTTACAACAAATTAATGAAGAACACCATGAAATTCCCAAAGGTTCACATACTTTTTCTTGCAACTGTACGAAGCAACATGCACAAGTAACAAAGTTTTATTTTAATTTTCCAGTTCACATCAGTCATTTTGCCCTTTACACTACAGACCTGGCTATAGTTAAAGCCTCAGGTCACTATCTCCACCATAATAGTTAAGATTGGTTTTTGTCACAAAATACCACTTCCGAGAAATTTTATTTCTAGTTTATTTCCAAAACAACGTTAGGAAGCCACCACCCTCAGGCCAACTGTTTTCTAACACCATGACTTAATAACTTTAGCAATCTGGAGCTGTCTATTTTTTGAATATTGACAGTGACCAGAATCTAGAGCTACAAACCCAAATCCTTTTCAACACCTTCTATTTACAGAAAGCTATTACCCATCACATGCTAAGTAGCTATAACCAGCCAATGACATCAATTGTTTAGATGCTCTAAGAGCCCTGCTGACGCTCAGCCACAACATTCATCTGCTCTTGCTATACATTGGCATGATGTGGCTGCACACAATACTGTCAATCTACAGTTGAAAACAACCAGTGTCAAGCTCTGCCAGAAAAAGTTACATCACTGCCTCATTTTTACTGTCTAAAAGTTAAAAGGCCAGCTTTGTGCTCATAAGCTTCTTAATCCTTTACAGAAATGGTTTTAAGCTTTTCACTTAGGACACATTTCAGCAGTACTCATGCAGAAGCAGACTTAACATAAAAGTTCATATGTGAAGGCAGAACAGTAAGTGCACGTTTTTCACAACATCTAAGGTTAGAGTCTGTCAAATTTTACCTTTGGTTTCCAGAGTCACGGGATCAGAGTATTCCCCTGCTACAGCTTTGTTGCAAGCTTGTACCCTAAGGTTCATGTATTTTGTATCAAATTTCAGACCTAAAAAGTGAATGTTTAGAGGCTTGAATTAATATTAATTACCGACAAATTTTAGAAGACTAAGACCAATTTCAGGCATCTGTCTTCCATTTATCTCAATCTGCAAAAAACAAGCTTAACAATAGTGCAAATTTCATATAATGTGATTTTTTACAAAACCTCAAAGTCAAAATAAAAGGCAGAGTCATTATGGTAAAAAGCACCCAAGACTAACGTGAAATAATGAAAGCTTCATTATGTAGAGAAAAATAGGTATTTTGCAAAACTTCAAAGTATAAAGAGTTTTAGAAATATTCTTGGATTGTAAGTACAAAAAAAACTTTACCTGATAATGTATATTCAGTAGCTTTAATATAGTCTATCAGTTCCCAATGCTGTTCATCTTTCACTCGAGGAAGCCCATCAAAGTTGGTTTTCCTATACTCAAGCACAAAATGATCAATTCTGCTGTCTTCTTCAGGCATTCTCCACGATACTGTTATGCAGTTATCAGCAACCAGACATGCTGCTAGATCTATCTCTGGAGCTTTAGGGACTGCAGAAAGACAAATACAGGCCAGTTTAAAGAATAAAGAACAAATAATAAAATGGAATAAATAATAATAAAATAAATAATAAGTAAATAATAAAATGGACTGAGTATTAATTTGGACCAGTAATACTCATTTCTTTCAGAGGATCTATTCCATTAGCAAAGCACAAGAGAAGACTAAGCGTATCACTTTCACTTAATATGCATTTTACATGCAGCGAGCATTGGCATCACGTTTTCCAGATGTTATTTTGTCAGTAGTTGCGCTGATCCTGTCCTGTAAGTAGTAAGAAGGCCATGCTACACTCAAGTGGACTTAAAATGACAAACCTACTTTTAGAATAACACTACAGAGAAAGAACATTACAAAGTAAACTTTCATTTTTGAGTCTTTGGAAGGTAAGTATGCTGCAGCCCTCAAACAGTATCACTTAATTGTTCTTCCATCACTACAGACAACTAACAGTGCAATAGCTTCCACTAGCCAGTTTGCAATTAACTAGTTTTCTTTCCATCCTTTGACTATAAAGAAGGGGAAAGAATTCATAAGATTCACTAAAGACTGGAATTTTGTTTATAGACCATAGAAGTGTATTTCCATTAAATCAAAAAGCACTTAAGTCACTGAAAAATTTTTGCAGAAGAAGGCACTCTTCCTAGTGTCCAAACTACATTCTAAGGAAGACTTTTGCTGAAGGTTTTTTTTATCGTTTGCAGTTTTTGGAGGAAGGATCTGCAAAAGCTTTTCCTTTGTTTCAGCACTCAGAAAAGTTTGAAAGAGACAAAAAATTGGCCTGCGAGTCAATGTATCAAGCAGGAACATCAAAAAGGCACGATACTGATGCACCTGTGGAACTGATAGACATGCAAATTTTATTTGTCAAAAATCATCCCTTTCCGTGACACTGAAACCCTTAACTGTGCTATTCTGTACAGTTATGTCCCAGTGACCAAGTCCTAATTACATACAGGTTGCCTTTAGGCAGTTGAAGCGACTATTTCTTGAACAGATTGCTAGCCATGATTCCCCTCCTTAATGACTGATGAGAATCACATTAATTATGTTTCAGTCATCTAGAGATGTCTGATTTTACCATCTAGATACAAACACCTCCTAGCTATAGCAGGTCTCTTAGAAGGCCAAGTTTGCTTTGTGCACACTGCTTCACACCTTCCCACACCTTCCCTTCATGATCTCTTCAAATATTTTAATCCAGTGTTACTGAAACACACCCTCTTACCCTTCACATCCCTGCAGTTTAAACCAAGCAGGAATTATACTGAAACTGGTGGTATAGGTTTAAAATGCTAGAGGACAAATATGCAGCACAGAAGAGACTGAAGTCAAAAGCATTCAAGTCTGCACTGGTTTTCGCTGCAGCAGAGTTCTGTTTCTTCAGAGAGGCTTGTATGGTGCAATGCTTTGGATTTGTGATGAAAACAGTTTTGGTAACACTGGCACTTTAGCTATTGCACCAAGCCCTTATCTGCTTCTCACGCTGCCCCACCAGTGAGCAGGGAGGGGACAGAGCCAGCTGATCATGCTGACCAAAAGGATATTACATATATGCCATATATTCCATACCATGTGACATCATGTCCAGCAATTTAAAGCGGGTGAAAGGAAAAGGAAATATTCCAAGTTATGGCATTTGTCTTTCCAAGTAACGCTTACACGACAGAGCCCTGCTTTCCTAGAGCTGGCTGAATGTCTGTCTGCCAATAGGAAGTAGGCCATGAATTCACTTACATACATGGCTTTTGCTTTACCTATTAAACTGTCTCCATCTCAACCCACAAATTTTCTCACTTTCACCTTTCTGATTCTCTTCACTATGCCACCACAGCAGGGTGGAGTGAGCAAGCAGCTGTGTGGTGCTTAGCTGCCTGATGAGGTTAAACCACAACAGATTCTCAAGTGTTAATCACATGCATTTGCCATCAAATTTCAAAATCATCCAACAATAATTTGAGAATATCAGTAGGATTCCTTCTTAGGCAAAAGAAGAATTAAGGTGAGGACAAGTATGTCAGAAAATACACCTGTAAGTTTAGCTAGCGACCCTAACAATGCTTGTCATAGTATATATCAGATAAAGTCTTCCATGTGTTTGGAGTAACCAAGTCGTCAGCACAATTCTGGCAAGCAGTCTTCAAATGACTGCATTACCACAACACCAAACCTGTTTTCACCCACCCGTACTAAGACATCAGTATTTCCTGATGTATGAAGGTCTGTAAGTGCCCAGTGCAATTTCACCTGCAACAGTGTAAGCTATCGGTATTTGGTGGGAGAGTAATTTGATAGTTTGGCATTACAGTAGAATATCTTCATTTACACGTAAGACTTCGTTCCTGCTTGCTGTTACAGCTTTACGCTCTCATTCCTGTTAAACAGGTGCACTGTGATCAGCTTACCCACCTTGCTCCCTTATCTGTGAAATACAGAGCAATGATTTCCACCCAGCATCTAAAACTAAAAGGTGAATCTTTGCCTAGACCTTCTAGCAGATCACTAGGAATAATGTTGGTAACTTACTAGACCTGTTACCACATAAACTATCTGCAGCATACATGATAAACGGCAGAAATGTAAACTGATGCTGCCAAATCCTTAACAGATTTGGATTAGTGACTTAGAAGCAAAACAATTTACATCCCTGCCAGCAGTATTCTTGTCAATATATTCTTGGTATCAGTCAAGGGCAAAGGGGTTTAAACAGGAAAGCGATGTGAATTAAAATATATTACAGGTATACTGCACCTAAGTTCACTTTCAAACAGTAACAAATAGACACATCAACACACGTTTTGTATTATGGCAATATCACTGCCCTTGTAGATGACCCCTCTCTTGCATTTCAGACATATCTCCCCTCTTGTAAGCGATGTACTAGCTCACAGTTCCATGAGTAACACTGCTGCAGATGACTAGGACTTCACAGTGTCACTAAGCATCAAGCAAGCCAGTACAGTCTTCAGAAACACAAGACAATGTCAGTAAGTACAGAGGAACTGACAAGACAAAGCGTGGTCTGGAAGACTCATTTTCACTTCTGAGATCAATGCTATTTTCTGAAATATTACATTATGTAGAAATTAACACAATAAAAACCTATATTTTTTTTTTACCCTGGTGGTATTCAGCTAAACACCCAGTTAATAAGAATGAGGTTAGATATTCTGAAAAATTTGCTCACTAGGGTGCATGAAAAATTTGCTCTCAAGGGTGCAAGAGGTGTGGTTTTGTTTTAAACACAGTAAGTTCATCTTGCAGTAACAAAATAAACTCACTGCATACAGTTTTTACCTGGCAAAAACTTTACTGCCTGGAGCATGCGCCTTTCCAGAGCGAAGTCCACCATCAGATGAGTCATACTATCACTGACCTTTGGTTTCAGAGAGATGCGGAATGCTGAAGCCATTGTGACTCTAAAGTCAAGAAAGCAACATTAGCAAAATATATTTTGCAGTTTAAGCCCTATAGCCATTTTCAAAAACAGTAATCAGATAATCGGTATCATTAATGTCAAATGGTTAGTCAAAATACTGATGGAAGACCAGAATATTTTTCTAATGAATAATTGTCTACCATTTAGCACAGACTCCAAGAGTTTTGCTAATCTGACCTCCCAAAGAGAATATGGTGCAAGCTCCTAGTTGTTCCACACCACTAGGCAAAGAAATATCAGAATTAACTAGAGAAAAGCTTAAAACTTCTTTTACCAGTGAAAACTTGGATGGGAAGAAACAAAACTCACTACTTCATAGAAAGTCAGGAAGTATGAAAAATATAAAGCACTTCAGAATCAGGACCATGTTTTACATACTTCAAACTCTGAAACTTAAACCTGCAGTGTAAAAAGATCGAAAGACTTTCCTGCTCAACAGGATCAATTCGTTACTTTTCAAATGGCATTTTCAGACGTTAAGCACTGTACAGAATGCATTCATAAATAGCGGGGAGCAATCTGAATATTCTGGTTTCACATCTACCTTTGATCTTATCAGGGGATGAAGAAACGTTTAAGTTGCTGGCACCATATTGCTTTGGAACATGCAAGTATCAGATCAGTCTTGAAGCACACTAAAGCACAGCTCCCATTTCCACTTCTGAAATTGTAGCGCAGTCCTTATTCCAAATATTCCTAAGTCACTTCAAATTATGCTGCACAGGCCATACAGCATAATTTGAATATTGTTGATTTAGAGAGCACACATGCCATACCTTATGCGTTAGAAAATGAGATTCTTAACTAAAAAGTAATAAGCACTAAGAAAGTTGACTGCAAACACTTGTATGCAATTTACACCCACAGATCTGTGAAATCTTTAGAACACCTAATAACCCATAGGAAATGGTACGCATTATGTACTTCACTAGCATGTAAGAGAGACTGTGTGCTAATATCACTCAGTGAAAAAGGGGAGGAAATACAAAGTGAGTGTTAAAGACTAGAAGCATGTCCAGAATGACAAGCATTACAATTTGGGGATATAAAACAATTATGACACTAAACTGGACATCATAAAAGCCAATTGATTTCTCAAGACAGAGCTGACATTCTGAAATTTGGTATGCGGCCTAGAAGATTCCACTACTCAGCCAGACAGGTAGAGTAAATCTCTCCTTAAGGGACACTAATCCTGATAAGCAGTGAAAGAACACCAAGTAGTCAGCTTCGGGATAGCTTTTTAACTTTTGTTTAGGCATCAATCTTGGACAGACAACCAATCACAGTTGGTTCTAAAGCATTAGATCACACAGTATTTCCAGAAACTAGAAGAGTAAGAGAATGCTTATTAGAGATAAAAAATACCAAGATTTGTATCACTGCCACTACCCCTCTGATTTTTTAAGGACACCAGATCTTTACCCTTGGAAAAGCAAAGATTAATTTCTCTGGCAACTACTCATTTTACACAAAACTTTGGAGAATTTAGACAATCAGACCAGACCTTCCTTGAAAATCTGTAAACTGAAAGCCAACCTATTTGATCCACAAGAGCGACATATGCTAGAAACGCCCTGTGAGATGTCTTTCAAGATATTATGCACATCATAGTAAGTTTTCTGAACAAGATCGTCAGTGTCTGAGAATGTAGTATATCTCCAAGTGAAGGAAAACGGCCTTAGCATTTATTCTGAAACAGTTTTTCCTTTCTAGGCAATAGTTTGAAGACATAGGTCAAAGAAAAGCTATCAGAAATAGCAATTTCACTGACATTAGAGTGATGTAACCAGAAATATTTTAAGAGCTACAAGACTTTTTATATTCAAAAGGAAAACTAGCTAGCAAGTCTGTAAGTACTTAAAAAAACCTCCAAGATTTTCTCATAATTTAAAGAGACAGCTTGAAACATGATTAAATATCAGCCACCAGGTATTAATAATAAATCAGAAGTTTATTATTAATAATAGTTAATTACAGACTGTATTAATGTTAGTTATATATACTTAAGAAATAACAGGTGCTGCAGAGTTCTACTTCCTTGCATTGAAAAAAAAAAAATCTCTCTATTAAGGTATGAGTCATCAAAGAAAAACACTGCACGAGAAGCATAGAAGTTTTTAGTTCTCTGAAACGCTGTGATGTCACAACAAACACTTAAAAAAGAGTCAATGAATCCAACCTAAGCTGACTATGACCCTTTCAAAATTAATGCATTTTCAAGGATGAGATTAATTCAAAGACACAAAAGTGATAGACTTTGTACTGTACCTATCTTTGATCTGTCTGGTAGCCTTGATGCATGTCAGGGAGAAGAGAGAGAAAGTAGTTAGTATTTCCATGCAAGTATCAATGGCAGTAACATGCAAGAAAGCTGAGAACAGTCTCAGATGTATTGCTCAGATTTGAAGATCAAAACAAGTTTAACATTTTTACCAAAATAAATTTTCCCACAAAACACCTTAACTGTATTGGTTAGAAATGCAACAATGTAACAACTGGGAAAAATCTGAGGTCAAGAACCCCACCAAACCAATTCCAAACTACTTCCTGGGTGTGACTTTGTCAACTCAGATTTTTTCTTAACCAGTAAAGTCACTCTCCACTGCATGAGCTCCATGACCAAGTCAGTAAAATTTAACTACCATAGTATTTTCTGTGAAACTACTAAGCGTTTACTTGTGGGATGTAACCATACCTGACTTGTCTGGCTACACATCACAGCATGTATTCTCAGACCAGCAAGAAAGAATAGGACTTGCTTTAACTCTTCTCTGAATGTTCACTGTATTATTCCAACAATACTACCTCAAAGCCTCTCGCTATTTGTCACTATTCAACACTAGAGAACGTAGCTTTTTCCCAACATTTAAATGCCATCATGGAAGCAGATGCAGAAGTGGAGATGGTGTATCACGTGTGATGTCTCCCACCCCTGCAGACATTCAAGGTCAGGCTTGATGGAGCTCTGAGCAACCTGATCTATTAAGGATGTCCCTGCTCACTGCAGGGGGGTTGGACTAGATGGCGTTTGAAGGTCTCTTCCAATCCAATGCATTCCATGATTCTACGACTCATTCTACATTTCAAAGACAAATATTAACAGGCTTTTGGAAAGACAAAATCCCTGTTCTTCACCGAGCAGAACTGCAAACCTAAGACAGTAGGTTATTGCTGAAGCAGTGATGGCTTAGTTAGGTCTCTTGCATCCATTCTTAGCATGGATTCACAGTTACTTGAAGTTATCACGTTGCTACTTGATGTAGTTGCCATTCAGATGAAATACCTTCCCTTCCAAAGGGAAGGGGGGAAAAAAAACGCACACAGGTAGCTGCTGACTTCAAAGTCAAACAAAAGTGAAAGACTTCTAAATTTCTCATTAAACACAAAGCACCAACAATGAAAAAAACATTTAAAAAGAAAAAAAAAAAGAATCACAGTTGTTCCTGCTATAAAGCCAATTTTATGTTCGTAAAGTGGGAAAAAAAAAAAAGGAGAAAATTTAGCTTAAAAGTGAGGTTTGTTTTACCTCAAACCAAAGTTATTGTATGAACCACTGACTATTTTTTCCTACATGACAGCTGGACACAAAACAAAGCTACTTAAAAACAAAAGCTTTCCTCATAACCTTGTGGAATATGTGGTAGTCAGGCCTCAACAATCAGTCTTCTGCAACACAGTCCTGGCTTCGTTCCTTTGAATTTAGTTTGTTTCCAGGCTACTGACAAAGAACGGTATCGTCCCATTTGAGATGACCTACACAGCAGTGTCAAATCACATCCTGTTAACCAATGAACCCTCCAGACTTCCAGGTACACTAGTTTAGGGCATAAAAGTACCAAAAATCTAACACAGAAAAATTATTTTTAAAAAAACCCCTTAGTTTTGTCTTATGCTATCTTCTTCTAAAGTGCTAGAAAAAAAAGTTTCAAAAGAAAACCTGGGCTGGAGCTGCCCTTTCAGGAACACTTGGTATTTTTATTAGCAGAGCAACAGATTTAGCTAGCTAATAGCCACGGCAATATTACCCTAAAATGCCATATCCAAAGGCCCATGTACAAGCGCAAGCTAGCATAGTACAAGTTCCAAATCCTAGATATTACACTTCACTGAATTGGATTTCAGTATATTAAGTCTCAGACTCCAAATGTAAAGAGATTCCACTCCCCCTAGCAAACATTCACATAACTTTCCTTAATGCATCTGACTGAAAAAAAGCGCATTAGAAATACTTGAAAAGAAACAACTTACAATAAATTCGAAACTACATTTTCCTTTAAGAGATAATTCGATTTTAAACTGTCACATCATTGTGACAAGATGGAAAGGACCACTCAAACTGGAGTCCTAAGAAAAACATTCAGTTTAGGAATTGTCATTCTTCACAGCAAATAAATCAAAGCTGACACTCAGGAAGCATGACAGCACATAAACATGTTGCCAAAAGTTATAACTGACACAGAAAGACAGCTTTCCTGTCCGTTCTTTTAGAATAATTTGTGTCCTGCTTCCTGTTAAAATGCACAAAGGCAAAAGCAATTGGGTCTTGGATTTGGCATGGCTGACCCTACTACTAACAGGAGTACTGTTGTGCCTATTGTACTAAATCACTGTAAAAGTAGAACTGTTTTATTAATTTGTAACCATACTCTCCCAGTTAGGCACATGTTTACATATTTACAAGTCTGCTGTGGTTAAGTACACACTATTTATACTGGAATCACAACGTGAGGCCCAAGTCAGGCCTACACTGCACATAAATGCATTAGAAACAGAGGAAACAGAGAAAGAATTGCCCTGAATTCCACTTCATATAATCTTTCAGAACAGCTGCAGAGTTCAGGGTTGCAAATTAAAGATCCATATCTTTATAGAAGTTCTGTAAAACAAACTTCTTGTCATCCACAGATAGCTGCAGCTAGAACGCAGAGACTCTCTGCAAGTGTCATGTAAGAAGATTAGGCAACTCACAGG